ACACACACACACACACACACCAGCAAGAGTTAAAAGATTCGGTAAGGAAGGGCATGCACCAACCCAAATTTCTGAAATCCTCTTTGACAGGATGTAATATATTCATATATTACAATATTTGTTACAGTATTATATTACCTATAATATAGCACAATATTCATTACTTATGAAAGCTTCTAAAGCGGTAGCCTAGGTGAAGAGTCTATTAATTTGCTAACTATTTTAAAATTAAGGATGAGTATAAGTGAGTAACGTAGGCATGCTTTTATCCTCAATTTAATCAGTTGACTTTAATTACATACATATTTAACTTTTTGAGGCCTTCATATAAGTACAGGTAGTCCTTGATGTACAACCACAATTGAGCCCAAAATTTCTGTTGCTAAGTGAGACGTTTGTTAAGTGAGTTTTGTCCTATTTCATGGCCTTTCTTGTCACAGTTGTTCAGTGAATCACTGCATTTGTTAATTTAATAACAAGGTTGTTAAGTAAAGTGGACTTCCCCATTGACTTTGCTTGTCAGAAGTTTGCAAAAGGTGATCACGTGACCCCAGGACATTGCAACCATCATAAATAAGAACCAGCTGATAAGCATCCGAATTTTGATCACATGACCTCCGGGGATGCTGCAATGGTTGTAAGTGTGAAAAACGGTCATAAGTCACTTTTTTCAGTGCCGTTGTAACTTCGGTCACTAAATGAACTGTTGTAAGTCAAGGACTACCTATAGCTAATGCCTTTTTCACATTTGCTAGATTTAGCTTTCAAATATGCTGGCTAACTGACCACAGGAGTTTTGTTTGAATGCTCTCCTAAAAATCATTCCGATAGCAAAAGAAGCAAGCCATCACACAGTATGAAAACAACTTGTCTCATTAGAAGCCAGAAACAGCTAAAAGATCAAAAGGGAGCTCTTGGCTGTATGACAGCAGTTCCTTTTTCTGGATGCTTTAAAAAAATTTTTTTAAAAATTACTGCCCTATATAAGATTTTACATATATAGAGAAATTGGGAAAATAAAACATAGATAAGAATGAAACTGTTGTGTTTGATTAGATAAAACTTTGTTCCATAAGGATCAACTGGATATCTTACAGTACTGTGCTAATAGTATCAATAAAAGAATAGACAAATCAGTGCAGAATAGGAACATTAATAAATATTTGGAGTGTGTTGATTCTAATGCCTCGTCTGGTGTACTGCAGATTGAGGTTAATGGTGTTCTTAGAATGGAATGTACTGATTAAGAGGTATCATATTTTTAATGTTTTCCAAGTTAAAACTAACACAACAAAACCCCATTCTACATATAAACCATCCAGAGTCACTGGGAGTTGGACAGCATATGACTTTAATACATTTCTATTAATAATATTATAGCAGAAAGCAAGGAGGCTGGAACCTTTGCTCTTGGTGTTCTATTTTTAACACACTGAAAATTGATATGTATGTTTCATTTATTTATTTTATAAGGTTTTGGAGTGTTGCTAAGAATTAAAAGAGACAATTCACTCCATTTCTGATTTCTGCTAACATGAAGGTGAGACTGTCTCTTTGGGATGGTGCTGATGAATAAAATTAAACAAAGCAGATAATGGAGGTCTGGAACTGAAGTAGCGCATGGTACTTTAAGAGTGTAGTTCTTTTTTTCCTGATATTATGTATTGATGGGCCAACATCTCACATCATCTCAGACCAGGGGTCCCCAACTCCTGGTCTGTGGACCGGTACCGGGCCATGGCATGCCAGCAATCAGGCTGCACAAACAAGCAAAGCCCCATCCGCAGGATGCAGGGAGCACACAAAACCACACCCCCTCCAGTCCACAAAAAAACCTCTCTCAACGTAACCGGTCCCTGGTGCCCAAAAGGTTGGAGACCTCTGTTCATTCTTGCTGATGAATACAGTATAGGAGACTGGGAAAGGCTATTTGAACCCCTTTCACAAGCAAGGTTCCTCTTCCATGCTTGTCATTTTTTCTTGCTATAAATCTTACTCTTATATAAAAAAAACCTCATCTGCATCTGATGCTTTCCTTCTTGGTCTTTTAGGTATTAAACCTGTTTCTAGCCTTGCTCCTGAGCTCCTTCAGTTCAGACAATCTTGCTGCTACTGATGATGATAATGAGACGAACAATCTCCAGATTGCTGTGGCGAGGATTCAGAAAGGAATAGATTACATTAAGAAAACATTGGGAGAAGTTGTCCAAAAAAGCACAAAGCCAAAAGCCATAGATGATATCAAAGTCCTTGAAGAACTAAACCACAAGAAAGATGTCTACATTTCCAACCACACCATGGTTGAAATAACTAAGGAAGTTCATTATCTGAGAGATGGAAATGGAACGACCAGTGGTGTAGGAACAGGCAGCAGTGTGGAAAAATATATTATTGATGAAAATGATTACATGTCATTTATAAACAATCCAGGCCTTACTGTAACTGTACCGATTGCAGTTGGAGAGTCAGATTTTGAAAATATAAACACAGAAGAATTTAGCAGTGAATCTGACCTGGAAGGAAGCAAAGAGGTAGGCCTTCTTATATTTATAATATATATAGATATATATAATATTAAGCAGAAAAATAGTGACACAAAAATATTTCAATTGTGTTACATTGAATTATTCTTATTTATAACATAGTTTAAAAGGTTAACATAGTTGTCTTTTTAAAATAAAAACTAATCATTTTTTAAAAATAACAATGAATTCATTTATTGTTATAAAATGGCAGTTAATGTATAATGCTGGTGTTTGTTTTGTTCTGTGTAATTCGGAATAGAGAACCAGTTTGGTGTAGTGGTTAAAGGCCAGGAACTGGGAGACGGTGTGTTCTAGTCCTATGTTGAGTACAAAGCCATCTGAGTGACTCCGAGCCAGTCACTCTCTCTCAGACCTAGGAAGACTGCAATGACAAACCATTTCTGAAAAAGTTGGCTTGAAAGCTGCGTGGACTTATCTAGGCAGTCATAAGGAGTCAAGACTGATTTGAAGGCTCAAAAACAAACAGATAGATGAATAAGAAGAAACTACAGAGTCAGTAGACTGTATCTAGGCCATTAAGCCAAACCTATAAATTGTATTAAAGCAACCAGGATAGATTGCTGGCTACTCTGATTGAGCACAGTTATGGAAGGAAAACTATTGAGAGGGATAATTCTTGACCACATGTTTGGAATTTTCTTTGCTGATTCCCCCCCCCCCCACAAAAAAAATATCCTGTTGCATTTTTTACAATAGAGACGCAACAAGGTCTCCCTTATTTTACTTAGCAGTAGAGATAACCTACTATGGCCTAAGAGATTATATTCTTTTTGGACTAGTCTTCATTTTATCTTTGCGTTAATTAATAGGCCATCTTTCTATAGTGCATGCCATTTGGCTGCTTTGATTTTTAGATGTTTAGCAGTGAGCTGATCTTTTTTTTCTTCAATGATTCAGGATTTGTATATCCGTTTTAAAGACTGAATTCCCCTTCATCCTAGACTTTCCAATACACTTCTGCTTGCCTCCTTATGTAGGTTTACATTATAGTAAGTATAATGTTCCTTCCTAGGATGTTATTCTGGAGAACCCTCAGCCATGCTAGAAAAGAAGACATGTATGCAGGGGAAGGGGGGGGAGAGAAGAAAGTAAAAGCACATTAGTCGTTTTCATTAATTTTTAGTATTTTTAGTTTTAGTTAAAACTTTATTATCAAAGATTCAAGAAATCAGACTCTTTGGTATTTGTTCAATTTACTCTCCACTTTCCTGCGTGTGGAATATTTCACCCGCCTGCAAAAATGGTTGAGAAAAATTCAAGCACATAAATGTCAGCTATTTGGGATTTGAGGTAAATTGTTGACTTAGTTTCATTGTTTACTTAAAAGGTTCCATAGGATCTGCCAGGCCTATACGCCTGTTTCAAAAATTATTTGGAAGAAATGCTTTAGATCTAAACACCTCAACATTTTCAGGTTTTATTTCCCAGCCAATGCAATGCAGAAAGAACAGTACATATGTTTGGGTCAGACTTGTATTTGAATATTTCTTGGGGGTTTGGGGTGTGTGTGTAATTTTGTACATTTTTCTAACCTATTCAGATAGGTTAGAATTATTGTGATTTTTCCTAAATCATACGAACTTAATTTAGAGAGTAAAGTAGAAGCCATAGGAGCAGGGCACAATTAGGTGAACATCTCTGCAGAACAATGCAGTTGGTAGCATGAATGTGAGGGATACACAAGAAATAAACAGTACACGATAGAAATAAAACTACAATAAAGTATAAACAGTTGGGTGCTAACTATCCATTTCTTTGAAAGTGAGGGGTAATAAGCCAAATTCCAAGCATGTTTACTGAGAAGTAATTAATGCAATATTTGTTCATTAGGTAAATATACTAGAATTGTAGCCTTATTTTAGCAATGTTAACTAAATAACACTGTGCAAGGCCAGCTTTTTCACTGAACTGGGTAAAGAAAGAATTGATGGATTTGCAAGGAAAAAGAAAAGAGTTCAATCCTCTTTTTATTTACTTATAAATATTTTCATCTTGGAAAATAGTCATTTTCTTACATTTCTATTAAAATTCCAAACTGGGAATGACAGAGTTTTAAAAGATTTTACATGTTTCCCTTCTAAAAGGTCCTATACTTCTTCCTCAAAGAAAACAAACTCTTGTTTTATTTTTCTTTGATGTATCTACTAATTTAGTGGTTCTGCTAATTATGAACAGTAGTTAAACAAAGACTGGGGAAAAGCTTCCTTACAGAAACTGAAGTGAGGGAATGAGTTTAATTTCTGAACAATTTCTTATACAATTTAAATTAATTTCAGTGGCTAGCCATTAGAATGTCCTTTGGTAAGAGAGATGTTAAGGAAGGAAAGAAAAAAACATTTCTGAAGATGTGTTTTTTTGTGTGATAATGGAATTATTCTATTCTAGAGATTGATATAGTTCAGTTTTCTTCTGAATAATCACTTGCTGTTTAGATTCTACTTTGAAGAAATATTTAAATTACATTTGAGTAATTTCCCTCTTACACAACCTTTTCCTGGCACCACCATTGTTAATACTATACCAGAACTATAGAACATGGAAGGAGCAAAGGAAGCTCTTAGGTCCTCCAGATTCAATAAGGAGAACTCAGTCTGGTTTGCTAACTGTGGCCACAATGGATCCCTCCCAATGAATGGTCCACAGCAGCTCCAGGTTCTGGTGGTGAGCTAAATTCTTTTTCTTCAGAGTGGATGAGGTCAAGCCGAAGACCAGTGTTCTGCTTTAGAGTCGAGGAGGGAGGGAGCCATGCAGTTGAGGATCATTTCTTGCTTGCTTAAGGACTGCTAATGAATTGGGAGCATCACATCATTAGCAGACAAACAAACAAACCAAAAACAAATAAAAGCAATTATGTGACATAGCCCCAGTGATAAAGTATCAGTGGTTCATCATGCTTTACTTTATTCCAGTAATATTGATGTCTTTGCCAATAGAGTTGTCTACAGAACTGTTGGACTATAGCAAAATCCAGCAAGTCTTTTGGAGATGATGGGATTTGTAATCTAAAATGTTGTTAAGCCACCAGCTTGGAGAAAGCTGATTTAAAATGTAATTAGGGCTGTGAGCATTCAATCTCTCTTTTTCTGAGTTTTATGATGACATCTTTAGGTTCTCCTCCTCCTCGTCCTCCTTTTTTGTTTAACTTTTCTGAAAATGCTTCGAAACCAGAGCAAAAGTTGTGAGGTACTGTGTCATGAACTTCATTGCCTGCCGTTCTTACTTCTCACAGGGGTAAATTCAAGCTGGAGCAATCAAGAATGCAGCTCTGTTGCTTTTTAACCAGGTAGATTCAACCTATCACACCTCTTAACAGGTTATCTAAGCAAGCTATACTTAATCGGTTTCTGGATATTGACTGGCCTGCATGCTATATTGAGCTGTGTTTCCTTCCCTATTCATCGCAAGATGGTGCAGACATACAGCTACTCTCTGCTGAGTCTCATGACTCACACATCACAGCATGGTCAGGCAAGATTGGCAACCTTTACATACATTTCGATCCTGCTAATGATTTCTCTAGATTACATTTTATTATCAACTCTTTTGAACAGCTACTGCATGACTTAGAGGTGTTGCAAGGTAGATTAAATGGACGAGAATGTTAACTCCTTCAAAGGTCAAGGGGGAAAAAAAACAGAGCATGCATAGTTTTTAAAGCAATGAAAACAACCCCTTTTTGATTCAGCCCTTATAAATGTGCTGTGTAATTATTTATATAATTAACACAGGTGAACTTTAGAGAAACAATTTCAAATTATTATTTTTATTGTATTCTGTTTGCTTACTTGCTTTTTAATTTCAAGGTATTTTCATGCAGCAAGCCTTTCTATTTCTAATATCTTTTCTTGCAGTATTTGTCTGAGTATTTTGGATTTTCATGTATGATATCAACTGGTGCACTCAGAAAATAAAAAAAAATGTTTCACTGTTTTATGAAACTGTTGCTTAGAACAAAGATATGATCTACAAGGAATGAATTCATGAATTAACCCTAGCATTGATTTGGATTTTAATATTGATAGAGTGCAATAAATAGCAAGCAGTAATTTAAATGCATACAAAATGTATTTCATAATTTTAAAAAATCCAATTATATTCCTTTTCTTCTGCTAAAGAAGCAATACAGGTAGAGCCTGAGTGACATTTACTGTTTTGCCTAAGAGATGTTTATTGCTAAAAAGATTACTCAGATTGTTCTGTTCTGTTTGGCATTGGCCATTGCTAGGGAAACAGATGTTTCTGTCCTACTTGTTTTTCTGAATATCATGTTTTTAACATTAAAGAAATAAAAGTTATTATAAGAAAGCAGTAGTTATAAGCTACTGCATAACTACAAACATTCACAACTATTGACAAATAGATTATTCTAAAAGGAGAACTTAAATTATTCAGAATTTAATTCTGTCTGATGTAGAAGCTTTAAAGCACTCTTACGTGATTCAGTAATAACCAGCTCATACTATCAAAATACCCCTCAATATAACAAGGTTCTACTAGTATTGTATATCTTGTATTATACATTCTGCTCTTCAGATACAAGATTTTCCATGTTGCTTTCTCATTCCCTGGCTATATTCCCCAGTTTACAACTGGTCCTTCCTATGAAGGTTTCCCTCTGTGTACCATCAAATTGCATAACAGATGGAGAGACAAAACAGATAATGGTTATAGTTCATACAATGAGTTCTAAGAAATGCTCTAGAATAGGACAAGAGAGTTGTTTCTGTGAGTTCAAGTTCTTCTATATTTGAACAGATCAGGCAAACTCAAGCAAGTTATTAACTCTTGTTTTCATTAAAAGTGCTAGTTTCAGCCTTATGGATTTTCAACAGACTCAGTGGCTAGGTTTGCCTTTTTGTAATCTTCGAATATACAGTTATATCCAGTACATGTTATATACAGGCTGCAAATTAAGTGCTCAAGTTGCTTTGGAGATAAGAAAAAATATTTAATACAGAGTGAGAAACTTTTTGTCTTGCTCAGAAGTCAATTCAAATCCCTAAAAATAGTCAGAGATGTGGTTGAAATGTGAAGAATAAGAGTAACTATTTCCTGCAGGTTTGTCAAGTCATGAAGCAATTTCGAATACTCAAACTGTACAAGATGACTTATTCCTAATAATTTATAATGGCTGAATCCCTTTGTTTATTTGAATGTCATTTGACTCATGAAGTGGTTTGTAAAGCTTGAACATTTGTAAAATAACCTGCTCCTGCTCCCATTGAAGTAACATAAAGCAAAAATAAAATGAGAGCAAGACTGGGTCCGAAGTGAATGCTTTAATAATAGAAATGGGCTCTTTTAACCTGCTGTGGGGCAAAGCTGGTATGAATTGGCCTTACATGGGCAAACAGATATGGGCAAAAAAAGAGTTTCTGTAAAATCCAAAAGAGATCTTTAACATGGATGTCCCATTGCTATCTATGCCAATTTAGACTGCACCCATGTTATGTAATGTTTGTAGAGCATCTTTTTTAAAAAGAGAAGTTGGATATCTCTCTGTCTTGGCACAGTTTCACTAATATTGCACAGGCTTCTGCTCTAATCCAGCATGTTGTTTTGCTGATCCAGGCCTTGGGAATGCTGCCTCATCAACAAATGTCTTCCAGTGTACTCTTGCAGATAATTAAGATGTTTCCTCTTTATACTTGCAGAGTGGTCTGTCATAGAAAATAGTTGGATAATTTTTCTCAAACTTTTAATATTTTATGCAAAAGGATTTGAGTGTCTTGTAATAACAGACAACCCCATCCTGAACCCTCCCTCCCTCCCTCCCTCCCTCCCTTCCTTCCTTCCTTCCTTCCTTCCTTCCTTCCTTCCTTCCTTCCTTCCTTCCTTCCTGAATTCCAATTACTCTATGCAGTGCTTTTTTTGTAAAAAAAAAAAAAAAAAAAGGTGCCGGAACTCACACACATTATACAACCCACCTTGCCTACCCTACAAGGTTCCATCCAAAAAAGGTGCCGGAACTCCGTTCTGGGCGTTCTATGACAAAAAAAGCCCTGACTCTATGTATGTGTTATTTCCTGTGAGTTAGAACCTATAATTGTCTCCTTTTTGCTTTATAAAGTTATTATACTATTTTCAGGATCTTAACTTCTAATACATATTAGGAATTGCATTATAGGTGAGAATAATGAGGTATATTATAACAGGTCTGATGTTGCTGATGTTGTATCCCACTGGAGAAAATGAAAAAGTCCAGTTCACATGAAATATGAATTATTATTCCCCATGTCATAAATAGGTTGCTGCAACTTCAGCTATCTTCCTTGACTCCCTAAACTTTAAAAAGTAACTAGAAGCAAAAGCCCCCACTTTGAGCCAAGATCAGTTCCTTGTGCCATCTTAGTTCTTAGGCCCAAAGAACCAAAAATAACACATGGAGTTACTTCTGAGTTGTTCCTTTATCGTTGTTTACCTACAAACAGAATCTTGCCAGACTAAAGGAATTATCTGGAATAACTATAGATATATTCTTTGAATTACTAGGGAGAATCCAGCCTTGCTCTCTTCCTGCCTATTGGACATTCCCAGTTCTCTGCTCTTTTTGCCCTCTGGGAAAGAGCCGCCCTCTCCTGTGACTCTTGACTATATTCCTCAACACTAATTCAGGGAATTATGATTTATTTTATCTCGGCTTTCAGAATCAGGCATAATTAGAAAGCATACTTTGATCTTGATTTGTCTTCACTAACAACAAGTTTAAAAAGCATTTTTCCATCAGTATGGATGTCAGTGGAAATGGTGTTTTGTTTAAAACCGAAAACAGATATCCTGATTGGTGATTGCAGAAGTAAAGATGAAGAGAGTAAAGTATGAGTCTCAGTGCAACTTATTTAAATGATTACATGTACTTCTCTTCTGATACATCTCAACTCAAAAACTGAATTGAGATGTTTGTAAATTTTGTCTGATATACAAGTTTTTATTGAACTACACTGGTGAACTATCAGGCATATAGTATGTGCATTTATTATTTGGAGGAATGTCCAACTCTGGGAAATACTTACTATCTTCTTCGTGGTCTTTTGAAAAAGTCTTCAAAAGTAGCAGCCAAAAAATGTATTGATACAAAGGAATTAACATTTAAAAAGTGAATCACTAAAGATATACAGAGTAATAAGAAATGAATTCTCAAAGTTTCTTTTCTTGTGTAAACCAGGACCAGTATATTTATAGGCAGGATATATTTTATTGTTTAGAAAATATTACAATATTGCTATTAAAACATTGAGTACAATGCAGTTGGGGAAAGAGGATGAAAAGAAGATGTCAAGTACCTCTTCCACATAGCTGTGACGGCACATGCTGGTGAATCAGATTTTCCCATAACATAAAAAATTAATAATCTTGAAGTTTCCCAGAAATACATTATATCTATTTCTACAATGCATAAAATATAAACATCAAAAAGGTTCTTTCTTATCTGGATGATGACTTTAGCCATCAATAGAAGCATAGAAATAAAGCATATTTACACATGATTCAAAAGAGACAATAAAAAAACTAAAGAAACAAAGGCTACATCCTCTTTAGCAGCCAACACCAAGATAAACATGGATTAACACTAGACAAACAATGAAACAGAAACAATGCCCTAATCTAGGAACTCCTAGGAAGCAAACTACAACCCTTCCCCAAAAAGCTACTATATATAAGTGGAAAGCAAATTCCAAACTCACCTTGATGATGGTACCTAGTTGGATAATGCAACATCTCCAAGCAAATGACCACGCTCAAAGAGGACCAAGGACTCCATAAAATACTTTGGCCCGAAGGTCTGTGAGCATGCATGGCACCTTACCACAGTTAGAAGGAAAATAGATTTGCTAGAATATAATGGTGCAACATTGTATTAAAAGTCTGGTTAAGCAGAGGTGAGTAAGCTGAGCTTCAAAGGGTTTTCCCTGGCCCCCAAATGCAATCTGAACGTTGTGACCAAATGAAAATCTTAATGCAGCAGGAGAGAACAATTCTTAAATACGTGACTAGAAAATATGTTAAGTAATATTTAAAAAACCAAACTTAATGTTTATGCTGACCCCATTCATTACTCTTTGGGAAATCTCCAGGGAATATTGCCCAAAGACAAACACAATCCACAAAAGTTTTACCTCCCTCATGTAACATGTCTGTATTAATCCCTTCACTGAAGCTGCCCAAACCCGAAAACTGTGTGTGGCTTTTATTTGGAAACATTCATATAGTCTCATTTCTTTTGCACCTTGGTCTCCTAGCACTGGGATGAATATAAAAACAACTGTACTGTGTCCAAACAGTGTGTGAAGTCCACAGGTTTTCCAGTTTGCCAAATGGGAGGGGGGTTGAGAAAAAAGTGTCTAAGTTATAGGGTTATATAAATAAGAACTAGTCTTTATTTAATAAAAAAAGGGGGGTGTCGAAACAACAAATATTAACTTCCAAATAAAACATGAGGAGACTGAGTTCTATAATTTGTGGATTCCCGGTTCTCAAATAATATACAGATCCAGGCATAAAATTGTAGATTTCAAATTTTAATTTATTGCAAAATAATTGTTGCCTTCTTGCTCAGAATTTGCCTTGTCTTGCAATCTGTATCTTCAGTATTTCTCTTATTATTATTTCCATAAGTTGAAAAAGATTGTGACCCAGATATTTCAGAAAGTGCTGCGTTCCACAGGGCACTTCACACTTGCAGTTGCACAAACAAAATCCATGTGCTAAAATGACATACAAAGACATGCTGTTGTTAGATTCCCCTCCCCATCCAGCTGAATTCTTCTATTTTGGCAACAAGGTTTAAGGATTATATTTATGCTAGATTTTCAGCAGCCTGTAATTTAATAATATGTGGATATTAATATATTAATGATATCAGGAACTTAATTTGCTAATTTGCTGTTTTTTGTGAAATTAGAAAGGAACAGTTGGACAACAGGCCATTTTCTATCATTCTATCATTTTCTTCTGTAATATTCAGCAGTCGTGAAGGTAGCTATGAAGTGTCTGCTTTCATTAGGAGGGTAATAATTGATATTGCATTTATTACGATATGATATTATTTATGAAATATGAATTGCCAGAAAGAGATGTTTGTCAGCAGTGTTTCTGGTGAGTAAACATAAATGCAGGAGCAGATTTAATATTCATGTTAAATTGTTTACTGCTTTGAAATGATCAGTGTAAAATTGGGTAGAGACCTCCTTTGAGCATGATAAACTTACAGGGGGAGGGGGGAAAAATGCAAACTTTTCTGTGGGGTTTTATTTCCAGAAGATAAATGACACCAGTTCATCTGAAGGCAGTACTGTGGATGTTGCCCTGCCAGGAGAGGGGGAGCAGGCAGAGATCGAACCCGAAGAAGCTCTTGAGCCTGAAGCCTGTTTCACAGAAGGTAACAGGGTATTTCTGAGCCTGGCTTCCCAGGAACTGCCATTTTGTGGATGAGGTACCTGCACAAACTGGGCTGGCTTCTAAGCACTAACAGTCAGATTTCATTTCACCATTACACAGCATTGGTCCTTTGTCAATAACTTACAGATACGTTCCTTGGTTTGGGTTCTCAAAAAGGATAGGCCAATTTAATTTATACACACACACACACACATATATATATGGCAAAGAGGGGAGGAGAGCCTGTGGCTTGGTGGTTAAATCACTGCCTAGTATGTAAACTGCCCAGGTTCGAATCCCATAAAAGGTATGGCTAACTGATGAAAGCAGAACAAGCTAGAAATGGCCATCTTAGTCTCCCAATTTAATTCTTTAACTCTTTGTCAGAAAAAGAAATTTGGATGTAGATAGATAGATAGATAGATAGATAGATAGATAGATAGATATAGATATAGATATAGATATATACACACACACAAATAAATTAGTGGATCATATACCCCCCCCCCAAAAAAAACTAGGGCATATGTATGCAGTATTTTGTTTAAAAAAATGTCTATGTGTATTTTCTCAAATACAATCTCTCCCTGGAATGCTATCGTCTGCTTCTAAAAACATTTTTTGGAATCACTTTGTGAAAAATTGAAATCCAGAAGCCAGAGCCTGTCTAAGATACTTTGCTAAGTGGGGGAAAGAAAAAAAAAGATAGTTTTTAGATAGATAGATAGATAGATAGATAGATAGATAGATAGATAGATAGATAGATAGATAGATAGATAGATAGATAGATAGATAGATAGATAGAATAGTGTTTTTTCAGTATTGACAATCGTCATCATACTTGAGGCCATTAACGGATGCATAACACACACGGTTTGCCCTCCAACAAAAATAAATCACTGGAGAATCAGAAGAAGCAGCTATGGGAAGGTTTCCTCTTTGTTTCCAGAACCTCAGAGACCCAGGGTGGAATATTAATTTGACACATTCCCCAAATGTGTCCTGTGTCAGTAATTTATCTCTTCTCTTTTTAAACTTTTAAATTCAGTGGTTCATTGGACAGGAATGCGTGAGTACTATATACTACAAGTAGTCCTTGACTTACAACAGTTTGTTTAGTGACCATTCACAATGGCAGTGAAAAAAGTGACTTATGACCATTTTTCACACTTAGGACCGTTACAGTATCCCCATGGTCATGTGATCAAAATTTGGATGTTTGGCAACTGACTCATATTTTTTGATGATGGCAGGGTCATGTGATTACCTTTTGCAACCTTCTGACAAGCAAGGCCGAATGGGGAAGCCAGGTTGACTTAACAACCGCCAACTTAACAACTTCAGTAATTCATTTAACAGCTGTGGCAGGAAAGGTTGTCAAATGGGGCAAAACTCACAATAAAAGTCTCTCTTACCAACATAAATTTTGGGCTCAGTTGTGGTTATAAGTTGAGGACTACCTGTATCCCAAAACATTAAAATAACCCTTATGTAACAGATTTTTAAAAGATGAGATTTTGGCTTTAAAAGTCTGGAATGAAAAAGCTTTGCTCTGTACTGTCATTTCAAGTACCAAACCATAATTTGGATGCGGCCTACTCCATGTGTGAAGAACCACTGTCTTCTGCACTACCCCTATAGCCTTGTCCTCTTCTCAGTCTCTGCCATCATAGGTGGTTATTCCAGTCTTTTGAAAGGACATGGTTTCTTTAAATCCTGACTAACATATAGCTACAGGAATAACTCGATGATCAGAAATTTTATACATCCTATTGGATGCATTTTATCCATAGGACAAAAACCCAGGTGCCAATTATTTTCCTTAGCTAAACAGAACTGTGCTAAGCCTGGCTTTTCTTCCCTCTAAGGCAGGGATAGGAAACCTTGGCTCTTTTATGACTTGTCGACTTCAACTCCCAGAATTCCTGAGCCAGCTATGCTGCCTCAGGAATTCTGGGAGTTGAAGTCCACGAGTCATAAAAGAGCCAAGGTTACCTATCCCTGCTCTAAGGAATAATGAATTCTGTCATTTACTTAATACTTCAGGAAATGTTGATAAGCCTATTAAGGTTATGCTAACCTCAGAGAGGTATTACAAGATACCATGTATAAAAGTTTATTTTAAAAAATAAAGTATCTTTCAGTAACATTTTTACTATTGTTATAACAGGCTGCATCCAAAAGTTCCCATGTTGTCAAGTGAGTATAGAAGATGGCAAAGGAAAAATCTGGTGGAATTTTAGAAAAACCTGCTACAGCATTGTTGAACATAACTGGTTTGAAACATTCATTGTATTTATGATTCTCCTCAGCAGTGGTGCTCTGGTGAGAAAAAAAAAGAAAATTAAATATTCTTCTCAAAATGTTAATGGTGTCAATACTTTTAGAAAGAACTTGACAAGAAGTTGCATAGGCTGTGTTTTCAGTTCTGAAAGCTTTAGTTAATCAATAAAGCCATGAAAAGATAATTGAGATTTTTATGTTAAAAAAAAAGGTGAAAGAAAAGATTACAAAAAATAAACATTTTGCAGCTTGCTATTTTTTCCTTATGTGATATTGGAAAAATGATTGCCTTTTTCCTCCATTTTAAAATATGATGAGAGCAACACATCTCTTTCCAGGCCTTTGAAGACATATATGTTGAACAGCGTAAGACTATCAAGACAGTGCTGGAATATGCAGACAAGGTCTTCACGCACATTTTCATTCTAGAAATGCTTTTGAAGTGGGTGGCCTATGGCTTCCAGATTTATTTCACAAATGCCTGGTGTTGGCTGGATTTTTTAATTGTTGATGTAAGTGTTGAAAAATTATAGTTTGCTTTGTAGATATATTTGGCGTCTTTCTGCTTAGAACACCCCAATAAGTTAAAAAGAACTGAAATAGAACACAGGTGTTCCTTGAATAAAAGGTTATTCTGGAAATGCTACTAGCATTCTGATTAGCATAAAGCAAATTTTTGGAGCAACAAATTGACCATAAATTTCTCTTTTAATTCATATATGCACATCTATATTTGGTCCATTTCAAAATTTTATAGCATTCTAACTTGTCTAGACCAGTCCTCTTCAACATGATGCCCCTCTAAATGATATTCGACTTCAGTTCAGTGGTTGGAAGGCACTATGCTGAGGAAGATTGATCTAGACAGTAAATATCTATCTGGATCCACATGAACACTGTACTGTAATGTGGTTGTTTAATTTTGTTTGGCTTTGATTTATAGTCATGTTTCTGGCTCGGTATTAAGTGTGAATAAGACTACTATCGCTTATTTAAGAAACTATGGCTAAAAGTTTAGTATATGAATCCGACACTCTATTAGAGAACAATTACAACCCTCGGCTTTTGTACTGCAACTCTTTTTGTGTTTTCCTTTTGATTCTGACCGCTCAAGGGTTTTAAATGTGAATCATTAGACAACTTTCTATTCTTTGTTGCTTATAGTATAATTTCATATGACAGATCTGAGCAAATTGTGACATGCCAATTCCTTCTTATAATTATATAAATTTGACTGTGTACAGATAGTCCTCGACTTACAACAGTTCGTTTAGTGTTCAAAGTTACAACGGCACTGAAAAAAGTGACTTGTGGCCAGTTTTCACACTTATGACCGTTGTAGCATCCCCATGGTCATGTTACCAAAATTCAGATGCTTGGCAACCGACTCATATTTCTGATGGTTTCTGTATCCTGGGATCACGTGATCTCCTTTAGCGACCTTCTGACAAGCAAAGTCAATGGAGAAGCCAGATTCACTGAACAACAGTTTGACTAATTTAACAACTGTAGTGATTCACTTAACAACTGTGCAAGAAAGGTCCTAAAATGAGGCAAACTCACTTAAAAAATGTTTCACTTAGCAACAGAAACTTTGGGCTCTACTGTGGTCGTTCGTCAAGAACTACCTGTATATAAAATCACTGCAACGATTTAAAAAGATTTTAAAGGCTGAGCCACAATTATATGCATAAAGTAAGATTGCTATTTGTTTTTATTAAAAGTTGTATGAAGCACGTAAAACTCATCACTAACTAATAAAGAGAAAAGGGGAAAGGAAAGGAGAAAGGAAAGGAGAAAGGAAAGGAAAGGAAAGGAAAGAATTCCTTTGCAGCAAATATAAATACAATTAACAGAATTATCTCTTACTCTATGATTCCTCCCAAGTCTCATTTTTTTCTATTATCCCTTTTTCTTATAATCAAAACCCCCTAATATTAAATACACCATAAACCATTAAACACCTGGTTAAAAATATGTAGCATAAAGCTGAACCATTTACTGTTATATTTAGAGAAAACTCCTATTTTTATTTCTTGCCAGAGAGTGCAATAAAAAAAAATGGAGGTGTCGAGCAACTAGTAAGCCATTCTGCATGAGTCAATGATGGCAATCCCGTTCTAGAATATAGCTAGGTCTTTCTTTGCTTTCAGAATGCCATAAGGCTAATATGTGAGAAATAATAGATGTGCTTGATTCTGCCTTACCATGAAAGTGATATGTTGTTTGAGTTAATATTCTGAAGTCTTGTTTACACAAGCTGTCAAGATGGGATGTTTACAAAATTGAATTAATTGACAGGCAATGCTAATTATATTAGCTCTTTGAGAGACATAGAGCGACCCAAACTGCTTCCAATCAATGACGGCCGTAGAAAACTTTAAAACACAGGAACATCAAATAGACTAACAAAAAAGGAGTAAGGAATAACATGAATGCTTTCAGAATAAAAAAAAAATAGCAGGTGTCTCAGTTTGTGGAATCCCTTTTAACTTGTAAGGTTGACTGAAGAAATAATTAACTGGATCTGTTGAATTAAGCCATGATGCTAAGCCATTGTCATTCTGAGAAGTGTCATCCTGAGAGTCCCAGTTTTTCTTTTCTCAACCTGCCCGAAGTATGTGCTTGATTTGAAAAACAGTCATGACTTCAAAGAAGAATCTAAATTTTAAAAGATAAGCTTAGTTGTCACCCTGAGATCTTAGTAGTTTGGAAGATAAATAGCATCTATTTTCCTTCCTACTTCTCATTTTGCATGGGAATGTTCTTCTCCTCATGCTGGTTAACTAATATTAAATTAGTAATAATAATATTTAAATTTAATATTTACTCTCAGTTTTGTATCTTTCCCCCCAATGCTAGTTTCTTGTTTTCTATCTCATTCTGTGGCAAAAGAAAAGTGAACGCAAGGTAATAAANTCATTCCTGCCTCTCTATTTAAAATTTCTTTCTCTATAGAACATTAATTGTGCCTCCTTTTGGAATTTATTTTAAGAATGAATTGACTAGATTAAAAATTGGTGAAAGGTGTATGTGTATCCATGCAAAGAAACACACATACATACATACATACATACATATGTTAAGTTTCGTATGCACACATGTGTGCACATGTACCATACATAACACTAATTTCTTTTTATTATATTTTTATATTTGATCTTGAAAGTGAAGTATCGTCTACCTAGTTTGAAAGGGCTAATGTAATCTAAAATAAACAAGATTATCAAAGAGAGATTCAATCTAGAATTAAGGAGAAATTTCCTCACAGGAGAACAATTAATCAGTGGAATAGCTTGCCTCACGACCCAAATTGTGGGTGATCCATCACGGGAGGTTGTCAACAGGAGAGTAGACAACTTTTGCCCGGAATGGTATAGGGGGTACGGTATAGATTGAGCAGGAGGTTGGACTAGAAGACTTCCAAGGTTCCTTCCAACTTTATTAGTTTTCTGTATTAGTTTTCCTTCCTATCTCCTAGCACAAGAACTCCTTGCTAGGGAATGTGGGAACATTTACGAAGAGATATAAGGTCAAAATTTGGAGGTCCTGGCATTATCTCCTTTACCCATTCAATTTCACGCATGAAGTAAATTAGAGAAATTTACTTCATGCATGAAATTAGATGGGTGAAGGAAATAATGCCAGGGCCTCCAAATTTTGTACCTTACATCTCTTCGTAAATGTTCCCACATTACCTAGCAAGGGGTTCTAGCTTTTGGGGTCAAAACAACATTGTGCAACTATTTCATCTTTCTCCCTTACTAGAAGAGAATCATTAAGAATTAAACATGGAGGAAAACAGTTTAATTTCTCCAAAAATTGTGTTTCTGAGTGAGGGGAATAATAGAATCCTAGCCTTGAAGTATGTGAGGGTGCAAAAAAAAAGTTTTTTTAAGGCAAAAGAAGATACCAATAGCACATGTGTTAGTGCTATCTTGTGTCAAGTAGGTATAACTAGATGTGTCAACTCTTCAAGGTAGTCCAGAGCAGGAAACCAAAAAGATGAATACTAATAGTACATTTATTGAAAGGTTACAATAACAGAATTGTGTAGGAGCTTTCCCTTTCCTTGCCTTTATGCTCCAGAGAACTTGGAAGAATCAAGTTTTCTCAAAATACATTTCTGGTTTGGGCTCAAATTTTTCTTATCTGAACAATGTCTAGGCTGCAGGTCTTCCTCTTCTTCAAGGTTATTCTCCACATCGATTACACCAGTTATGAGATGATGGGATGGGGGTTGGGGGGGGGAACAAGTTAAGGAAGGCTGGGTTAGGCTTTCTACCTCTAATGTTAGAGACCTTCCTTTAGTAGTGTGGAAAAGAAATCAAAAGGAACAATATAAACATAATTGAAATGTATGCCATTGCAATAACATGTAGAAATTATTTGGTGGTAAGCACTAGTTCATTGGAATGGCTCTTGACCATTCTTTATTTGAGCCAATTTCAATTAATAAAAAAAATGGCAGTGTAGCTTGCAGAAGTAGGAGAAAAGTGATCCTGATCAAGACTAAAAGGAAAGAACAAATATTTAAACTTTCCTGATCCTACGCTAGGAACCTGCTCCAAATGTTTACTTTTGTGATTTCTTTTTAGTAAACAAGAAGAAAAAACAGATGCACATGTAAAGTAATAAGTACTTTAATTACTTTATTTTTTCTCACAGAAGTCCTTCAGACTCCTCCTCAGACTCTTAAAGCAATTTTTCCAGGAAACAAAAATTGTCACTGAACATGACTTGAACAGAATATTCAGCAATATAACCTTGCTCCAGATAAAGGAATCAGTTTTTCAGCAACTGTAATAGAAGTATCAGGAAATAATTCTAATCTACCTCTGATTGTCTGTACCGATTAGAACTATACATGGAACTATCTCTTTCAGTAGGTGAAGGCAAGGTTCAGGAGTAAAGCGCGCAAAAAAGCATGTTATTTTTATTTGGCAGTGCTGAAGAAAAGTTCTTGTGAACCAAAATGATCGTTCTCAAATCTCTGTGGTCAGAATGGAACTTGGCTTGGAGGTACACTTTAAGTACACTTTAAGTCAGATCTGTTCTGAAGCCAAGCATCTATGTTTACAAAAAGAAGGATCTATAGGCAGCTATACAGCAATAAGAAACACTTAAGAGTCTGGCTTGATGGAACATAGTCTATGGGAATTTTGTTTCAGTTTTGTGTCCTTGGCTCATCCATCCATTTGGGGCCTGTAGAATCTCATTCAAAATACGTTCTACGAATATTTAAACTTTCTCCATGATGCCTAATGAAATGCTAATGATGCACTTTTTTTCTTCCAGGTTTCATTGGTCAGTTTAATAGCCAATGCACTAGGCTATTCTGAATTAGGGGCCATTAAATCACTTCGAACACTAAGAGCATTGAGGCCTTTAAGAGCTCTGTCACGGTTTGAAGGAATGAGGGTGAGATGTTAAGAAACAAACCTGAAATTAACATTTTCATGAAATAAATCTGTTTCTGCAATATAAGCAATGATGTATTAATGTAGAAATGTTGAACTTTTTTCACTACTATTTCAAGCACTTTCAAAATATTTTAAAAAACCTTTCTATTACCTTCTTTGAGATATCCCCCATAAATTGTTTAAGCCATCTTTAGTGCTTCCATGATGTTGTGTTTCAAGTATTAGGACATTCTTCAGGTGTTAGGGATATATGTACATGTATGTGAATACAATACATGTATTTTGAATCACAAAGATGTATTTTTTTAAAACTCCCAAGATATTTATGTTGTATACACAGAAAATTAAAAATTTTGAAGTGTTGATTATCCAAGTTAAGAAATATTGAAATTTAAAAGAAATATCCATTGAGGGATTCCACCCTAGCCTAAGGACTAGTAGATCAGCCAGATCTTTAAATCCCTCTGGAACTCCATTGGGTGGACGCTATCCAGATCTCAGAAAACCTGATTCCAGAGAGCAGGTACTGCAACAGAGAAGGTACACTTCCTGGGTCTTCATAGATAACACCATTTGATCAAAGGAGCCCAGAGCATGCAAACCAAGTCAGCTGATATCAGCCAGGCAAACACACAATAGAGAGATGGTCCCTCAAATAACCAGGCCCTCTGCCGTGTATGCCTTTGTAGGCCAATCACCTCCAGAAGCAAAGTGGAGCAGTTGAAACTTCCAAGAGGTTTTTAAGAGACCAGAGCCCATTGTACTAGTCAAGCTATACAGTGACTAGTGCATAAGTGACTGTTTCGAGGGCCTCCTGATCCAGGAAAGGATGCAACTGTGCACCAGATGGACCTATGCAAGGACCTTCCTGATCACAGTTGCTGTCCGTTTTTGAACAGAAGCAATGAGTCCACGAAGACCCCCAGATTGGCTGCATTTAACCAAAAGGTCATTCATCTCTTCCTAAATTGTTAGTTTGAGCTGCATTGGTTGTTATCTTTTCTTGTCTCTTTATTAATTTCTTGAAATCTATGGCTTCATATATTATGCATATTTACGTTCGTGTTCCAGTCATTATTTATCAGACATATATGTACTTTTTACGTTTTACTTGTTCTTGGTATGTAACCTTTTTTCTTTTTCTTTTTTCTTTTTTGTCTCCTCAGTGCACGCAAATGTTATGATTCCATCTTACCAGGTTTTCGTTTTCGTTTTTTTACTTTCTGTAGCATTTAGTTTCTGTTTCGTCTTTTGGGTGGGAGGGTAAACTTTACCTTTCCTTCTTTTGACATGTGTGTTATTTTCCATACAATCTGTGAATATAAACAGCTTCAGTTGCAAAAAATAATCTAGGCCTTCTTCCCCTCCCCCCTCCCTTTTTTCCCCCTCTTCAATATGTACCCTAGGTGGTTGTTAATGCCCTTATTGGAGCAATTCCCTCCATTATGAATGTGCTTCTGGTTTGTCTCATATTTTGGCTGATCTTTAGTATCATGGGTGTGAATCTCTTTGCTGGCAAGTTCTACCATTGCGTTAATACCACAACGGGTGAAATGTTCAACGTCAGCGATGTCAACAATAAAACGGAATGTGATGAGCTCATACACAACAATCAGCAAGCCCGATGGAAAAACGTAAAAGTTAACTTTGATAACGTTGGGGCTGGTTATCTTGCTCTGCTTCAAGTTGTAAGTAATATTCTTTCTACCCCGCTGCCTATTAAAATAATTATGGAAATCATCTAAGTTCGTTGCTTTCACTCTAAAGTTCCACATAAGTTCCAGTGATACTTGCTTGAATCAAGATCCAGGATCAAAAGAGTTGCCTTCGGTAAGATGGGTGACTATATATAGTAAATTTAATAAATAAATAAATAAAAGTAGTAATGAAGCCATTGCAGGCACTGTTCACATTGGAATTTCTACAAGTAAAAAA